TAGGGAATTTCTTTTGTAATTTCTTGAGAATGAATATTTTTTAATCTTTCAATACCAAGGTCATAACAAGTAAAAAGATTGTTAAATCCTTCTGCCATATATTCAGTTGCATTTTTAAATAATTCAGTAAAATTTTGTTGGGTAAATGTCTGAATTAATGAAGATTTTAAGCTATTTATAATAATATAACGTGATATTATTTTGCGATCTTTTGGAATTATTATATCATCACCAACATAACCATGTAATAAGAGATCTAGACGTTCTCTTTCTGTTTGAATTGAACTTATCAGTGATTTTAACTCATCTTCACTACCTAAATAAAACCCAATATTTTCTTTAACAAACTTAACACCAAAACGTTTAAGTGCCTCATCGAAGGCGAAAAAATGCCCTATTCTTGTTAAGTTTACTGAGGGAATATAATGTAGTAATGAACATAATTCCAAATCTTTTGATAAGTAGCTTATAAAATGAGTTACAGATCGCATATAATTGCTTTTTCCTACAGTAGCAAAGAGTAGCGCAAATGCTGCTAAATTCTGAAATTGCATTTGATAGTTACCATGTCGAATTCCAATCTTGTGCTCGATCCAATAACCACACCATTCAAAATAAAGAAGCCAAACTTTCATTATTTGATTATTACCTTCTCAAATTTGTGCGAAGATTTGACCAGTATCTTGAGCAACTTTACTTAATGCAAGTCCCACTGCAATCCAAATAAGCTCTAATACTCGGCAGGTTGCTACATAATCTACTGCCTTTTCCAACTTGTCTAAAAATCGAACACCAAGATGCGCTGCCAAATCAAAAATTCCGTAACTAGAAAAAACAGTAATTAAAGTTATACACATTTCTTTATTCGTGTGCCAAGCACCTAATAAAATATTAGCATCTGGATGTTTTTCATGATATGAAATTAAGCGTCGAAAAATTGCTTCGTCTGCAACTATATCAATTTTGCCATGCCTATTAGTTTTCTTTCCAACATCATCAAAAAACATCTCACAAGCCTTATGTACTGCTTCATCCGAACATGGATTATTCCCTGGCTCTAAAATGACTACATTTGGTGCTGGCACTTGACAACCTGGTTTTATCGCTATATGTTTGATTAATTCTTCGAATACTTTATCAACGTCAAGTTCTTTTTCATCATGTGTTGATAAACTATGAAATGTATTTCAAATTTCAGATTCATTTGATTTGTAAATATTGAAGTACCAATTTCAAATAAATAGTCTTTCGGTGAAGCTTTTGCTTTAGCAAAAATTTCTTCTAGAGGAATCGGCAACTCAAACTGAAAAACCATTCGTAGACATGCATGTGCAGTAATTCGAGTAGCATCGTAGATATTTCCAAAACTAAATGATCGCCTCATAAAATCAATATTGTCTAAAATACATATGCTCCAAATATTGGGTCCTTCAAGTAATCGGGTTGTTGGAATTGAATATATTCGTCGGCTTTTCTCAAGACGTCTTTCATGACGCTGTGAATGTGATACAACGTTTGCTGTACATAAAATTTGATATAAGGAGGATAAAAGGTTGGACTTTCTACATAATGAACTCATTGTATGTGTAAGCCAAATATTAATACTAGGAAAAGCCATAGTAAGAATTGTAGACATAAAAAAAACCGAAATTTTAAAGGGTCGTACACTATCAAATTCTTCAATTTTACCTTTTCGCTGTTTTTGCTTCTTCAAACAAATTTGATTTTTTTTTTTTGTATGAAGGTTATAAAGCTATCAAAAAAATTTCTAAGAAAATTCGGAAATCTATTACGATACTGGTCAAATGATTCAGGAGACTCGAGTACTGTTTTATTTTGAATTATATTTGATCGTACATTCTATATAGCACGCCCAAACGCCTCACCAAGTTTATTGCTTTGATCCTCTGAAATTAATAATTTTTCTAATTGATAGTCATCTTTTAACCTATTGATTTTAACCTTTCCAAGTCGCATAATCGTTTTTATCAACAATAGGCTAGGCATTAGTGTTAGTTGATTTGTAATATTTCGTTTATCATTTTTAGTTGTTGGGTGATATGCTTTACTAAGAACTACGGTCATTTCATTCAAAGTATCTTGCTTTAATTCTTTATCATTAGATTCTGCAATAGCAGTTAACCATCGTCCAAGTAAAATAAATGCATTTTTATTTTCATCAACATGCTGGTCATGGCAAGTATAGCTTTTAACACCAGTTCCTTTTCTCTTAAACAGATGACCTCCTTCGCTTTGAAAGCATTTAGAACAAATGAATCTTACTGATGTCTTAGCAGTTGGTTTCTTAGTTATTGAAGTTGTTGATTGCTCAACTAATTGATTATTATTTACAAATGCCGAACATACTTTACGTCCAATACAGGAAAATTGTATATCATAATCATTGATATTTACACAATATTCTTGACAAGTTATACCTCGACTAAAAAAATAACGATCTTTATTGCAAAATAAACATCTTCGTAATCGAATATAACTACTTTCAATTGACCGTTTTTGTTTTGCTGCTGCCATGTGTAATCGATTTTGATCAAATGAAAAATATGCTGAACATACGCCAAGAGTATGCACCATACTTTTAGGATTATTTTTATCAACAACTGATTTGTCTATTTCCCAAGTTCCAACAAGCTGACGAAGAGGCTGAAGCCGATTTACAGGTTTTCATAATTAGGACAACATCGAATTTCTCCATCATAAATATCTAAAACAACGCATGGAACTAATTTCTCACATGAAATATCATCAATTTCATAATTCTTTTCTTGTGCATTAAAATCGTTGCGATTTCTTTCTGAATTTATAAATGATGAATCATCCTTTATGTCATTTGTAGTAACATCATCATTAATATTATGTATACTTTCACGAGTTTTTTGAAATGCTTCATAATTAAAAAGGAACTTATGACTATTATCATCATTGATATTAGATACTAAAGACGTCTCACTAACATTATCAGTTGCCGAACTGAAATTGCTATCTAGACAGACATATGTATTATCAGGATTATTCCATTCGACATCACTTGTTTCACAGGAATCCATAGCTGATAATTGTTATCGTTATTGCTTGAATTTATTGCGCTTTGATAATATCTTTAAATTAAAGTAATGATTAATATTGATTTATAATACAAATAGTTGAATCGTGCAAGTCATCCCATTAAACTAAACATGCTTATTAAACTGATAAAATTCGGTAATAATATGAAGCTTTATATAATAAAATTCAATATATATAATATTACATTGAAAAGGTTTTCTTGATAGTATATTAAACAATAACGATAAATTTATTATATCAATATCAGTAAATGTTTGATTACATGTCTGTAGATGGATTATTTTACTTTGAAAAATTAAGTAAATTTATCCGAATTCAACAAAGGGTTTTTTCAAAAAAAGTAATTAACGTTAATGAAATTAGCAGATTCAAAATCTAAAACCTCAATGCGTCAGTTTAATAGGATTGGCTTGTAAACTTTGGTTTAAAAAAAAAGATCTTTTGCTATTGCAAACCTTATATTTAAACTATACCGATACTTATAGCAGTATCTTTTCTTAGTTGACCACCAAGTTTCGTTACGTGAAAGGCTGTGAAAATTTTATGCAGGTTGATATCATATAGTTAAAAATACATTTGATTGGGGACCATTTTTAGCTTTAAATATGAAACCTCTAACGCATTGGTTTAGAAGTTGACTGATACTTGAACTTTGAAGGAAGATCGTTTTAAGGTTTTTGCACATGCAGACTTAATATTAAAACTACTACCAGAATATACACATATCTATTATTTTTCTTAGTTGATCATAGTTTTAATTGCAGAATATCATGAATAAGAAGGTGAACCAGTGCAAACTATGTAAAATTATATATAAAATCTCTTTATGCAGGTCGACGATCATATAGCTAAAAAATTACATACATCAACAGGGGGACATTTCCAGTGTACGATATGTAATTTGTATTAACACTAAATACCTCACAACCATATCGATAAAAAATGTTTTATTTAATTAGGTGACAAAATCAATTCCTGAGAACAGCTTAAAGTTTAAAGAACCTTTTTCAAGATTATTTTAATAATTTAATAAATGAAAATAAATAATAAAATACTGGCCTTCTTTTTACTATGTAGTATCCTATTTCTAAAATTACTTTATAACAAACTAAAAACTCTTTCCTGTTCATCACTGATCGGGAAAGGAAATAACAACAAAATTACAAAAGCGCAAAACACCAACCCCAACTCAAGTTATAAGTTACAAACAAGGGCAAGTGCCCTTGTACCAAATAAAAGAAAGCTTTCTCAACTAGAAAATTGCTTACTCTCAAAAGCTATATATAAAGTACGAAAAGTAACTAACAATAAAGAGGAAGGAAGAAACTTCTCTATGCAGAAAGAATCAAGAGAAGCAGTTAATGGTGAAGCTACCCCAGCCCAAAAAAATGGAGAAAACTCTTTAGAAAACGATCTAGTCCCGGTGGTGCTTATTCAAAACACTGAGTTTCTTGCGGAACTTTCTGCCCATATAGAGAAAAGTACCCAAAACTTAGAAAACACGTCTAATAGTAGCTACAAAACAAACAACGAAGAAAAAAACAACAACGAAAACAATCACGTGTCAGATACAGATCACGTGGTACAAAAGATTACAGATTTCCAATCTACTCATTGTGTTACTAAAAGCTATGCATCTGCGGCCAAACAAGGCACAAACCTCTCTACAAAATTAGAAAGGGGAAAATTAACCTTTATCGCATTTTCTCCTAGAAATCAAATCAGATCTAAAAACAATAATGCGCTAGTTATTGAGATACCAGATCTTGACAACTCTTTAAATGAAATTATGTCTTCTCTACATGAAGAAATAGGAGAAAATATTGTAGCAGCCAAACAACACTTTAAAAAAGGCGTGAGATCTCACCTGGAAATTGTATTTCCAAACCATGATCATCTAGAATTCTATGATGCCAAGGGAGTTAGAATACTCAACAAAACTTATTATGGATATATCCCCACAGACGCATGCAAATCTTTTCTCCCAGTTAAAGTTAGAAATGTTTCGCTAGAAGTTAAAGACCATATCTCTAGCTTAATTAAAGAAGCTTTCGAAGACTTTGGAAAAATTGTCTCAATTAAACCTTTACTCATCGCAGGCACTCCCTATATGTCTGATCAATGGATAGTTATCTTTGATAATACAGATGATCCAGGTTTAGAAAGAAGAATTTCACGCTTCACAAATATTGATGACAACAAGGTTACTATAGAATGGAGAGAAGCTTCAAAAATATGTTACTTCTGTGATCAGACAGGACATATTAAAAAGAACTGTTTACAATTTCAAGAAGCAAGAGACTTAAAACACCATTTTCAAGAATTTAAGATTAAAAGTTTACAAAACAAAATCACGAAAGAAAGTTCAACTGAAACTCTCATGAATACAGATGAAGAAACTGGTTTTTCTCAAGAGGATACTCAAATTACAGAATCTGAATCAAACTCTTCTCTGGAGCAAACATCAATCGTAGAAGAAAACCTTTTAGAAAACAGTATGGAGGCTGAAGATGAGCTACTAACTACAAAGGCAGATATACAAGCTCTTGCAATAATGGATCAAAACACAGAGCAAGCTGAGACAAACCCTATGGATAACATATCTGTAGTACAAAAAATCCCAGAAGAGATAGCCTTTACATTAGTAATACGCAATAAAAAAAGAAAACACAAGGGCTTAAAACCTTATAGCAATACAAATAAAGAGAACTTATAAGAAAAGCTTATGCAAAGAGCATAAGGAAGCTCTAA